GCAGTGTCACTGGCCCTCATATGTGGGATCCGAACCGGGGCCCTCTGGCATCCCAAGCGAGTTCTTAACCATCGCGCCACTCGGCCGGCCCGGGAATTTGCACTTTTAAAAGGAGTTGTTGAAGTTCAGTGGTGCTTTCTAATAACCACTGAAATCGTACCGCATTTGACCTACTGACCCTGACGCCTGTTCCCTGTGAAATAAAGGTCTCATGTCACACGGTGGTTTGTATTTAGGAGGATCCTAACAGTACAGCCTGAACAGTGACTTGAGCCACAGCTGACCATGTTACACTGATGTGAGAACTTAATGGGTGAGGGCAACCAAGATGTCAGGAGACAGACCTCATCCGTGCTGGGTGACCGGGGACAAGCCATGTAGCCACATAGGCTTCCGGTGTTCTGGATGGTAAAATGCCTCCTTCAAATGATTGTTTGCAGAATCTGGTGAGAAGATGTTTGTAAAAGGGGTTTGAGATCAGTTAGGGGTGGTGATATCTTGGCTGTGTTTACTGCAAGGAACCTTGAAGCTGGGGGTGGCACGTGCAGGTGGCTGACGCCTGTGTTTGCGATCCCTTAGTGTCTAGTCTAACAGGGGTTTGCACTCCTGAAGTTACCACTGCCTTAGCAGACCGGAAGGGAGGAATCACTCCTGAAATTCAGAGGGAAGTCAGGTGTTCCCAGCCTCTTACACGTGGAACGTGGGGAGAGGCTCTCGTAGAGGACAGTGAGATGAGAACAGCCTGAGTGAGGGGAGAGAGGATGAAAACTCAGAGGCTGTTAAAGGGAAATGGAGGGAGCATATGGCAGATGAAGCCCTAGGAGTGGCAACTCTGGGGAAAAGGGTGTGTATGTGGGAGGGCTGGTGATAGCAGATGAGAGTTTGTTATGTCCACCTAAAAGGTCATGGCTATTTTTAGGAAGTGGGTGACAAGGCATGTTTCTATTGAACTCAGCATTAATGAATCCCCACTGTTTGCCCAGCCCCATGTTGTGTGCACAAAAGCAGAGGCCACCCCCTACCCACCGGAGCTTGTCCCTCTGCATGCCCCTGAGACATAGGACACAGGATGAGAACCAGGTCTGGAGTGTGGGAGATCATGAATTCAGTTTTAGACATGTTGTGTTTGAGGTGCCTTCAAGATACAAAGTAGGTAGGGTAGGCCTCCTCAGGAGGGGTCTGGCTAGAGGAACATTTTTGTCAAGGTCACATTTGATACCAAGGGCTTGGTGAGATTGAGGAACTCACCTGGAACAGCCTGTAAAGGAAGATGAGTCAATAAAGGATCCAGAAAAAGAGCAGTTTGAGGGTGGGGAGGAAAGCCCAGACAGCTCCTCACACAGAAGCAGGTGAGTCTGCTTCAGTAGGAGGGAGTGGCCAGCGGTGGCTGTCGCTGCTGTGGGAAGTGACGTGGAGAAAATTGGGCATCTTAGCTGTGGCTGTTTTTGTGGGATTATGGGAGCTGAAGTCAGATGGAATGAATGGTTGGGGGAGTAGCAGGAGGAGAGGATCTGGGGCTACTAAGTGTAGACAGGCTTTGAAGATGTGGGCTTTGAAGGGGAGGAGAAAGATTGGGTGGTGCTGGAGGAGAACCGCCTTGAGGGGTGTTTGTTTCTGTTTCCTCAAGCCATTCTCCTTCCATTCCACCCAGAAGTTAGCAGTGTGGATGCCTCCCTGCCTCTTCCCATGTCACATGGACGCAGGTACCTGTGTGTTTCACCAAATGGGTACATGCTGTACACCACACAGTGTAGCTTGTGCTTTTGATTAATTTATCATGGACAGTAATTCCAGGTCACTGTTCTCCAGGTCAGTAGCAGCTGTGGAATATTCTATATGTAATGTTCAGATGGACCATAATTTATTCAGCCTTTCCCTTACTGATGGATATTGAGATCGTTGACTATTTTTAAAACTTGGAACAGTGTTGGAGTGAGCAACCTATAGGATCCTGATTGGAATGTCGTTGAATGTATTTATTTATAAGGAAGAGTTGACATTTTTCCGATATTAAATTTTCCAAATTAGGGACAGATTACAGACCTTGTAATATGTCTTTACTAGATACTGTGAATGGGATTCTAACTGGAAATGCTGGAATTTAAATATATACATAGAATTTTT